GCACATATACAGTACGATGGCGTTTCTGAACAAAACTACATTTACGCTTTCCTAAATGCCAACGGGTTCGTTACTCGCTCAGTGTAATCACAACACATATGTCTGCTTTGGCATAGGCGAACGCTAGCGTCGAGACGTCGCGAGAATTTCTGCGTCCATTGCAAGCAGCAAATCCGTAGCGCACTCTTCAAGTCGGCAATCATCTAGTTTTGCCATAACCGCTAGGTACAGAACCGCGCAAATAGGTCGACGAATGTTTCAGGTGAGGCAGGTACCATTCGGTAACGTTTGACGACTGTGAAGCCCTACACTTTGGAGTTTTTGCAGGCGGCAAACACCAGGAACGATCCGGCGGCACTGTACAGAAGTGACGCAAATGTCGCTAAGCTGACGATATTGTTGTTCCTGTTGCTGTTGTTGCTGATGGCGTCGCCAATCAAGGCGCGAATGTCTTCAGCTTTCGTCTTCAGGTCTCCGATTCTTCACTGCAGGTACGTGCCCGGCTACTGGATTCCATTCGAAAGGTGCTGGGAGAACAGCACAACTCTGTTTGCTGGGAAAGTCGAGCAAAATTTATCGCCAAAAAACTTAGTACACTTGGCATCCGCCTGAAAATCGCTTATTAGAACTATAATTCGAAACCGTAATTTTTATAGAAGTGTAGGTCACTATTGTACCAGACAAATACAGGCCGGCAGCGGTTAGTGTATACGGTGCGAAGTTGGTTTAGACCGAAATATCGCGGTCTGAAATGCTTTTCATGTTTAGCGTTCAAAGTTTTGGCTCAACTTAAAATGGCGGCCGAAATCACAACAGAGACTGACGTACAGCGCATATGAATCTGTTACTTCGCAAGATCTAAGTTGAGCTTCTGAATGGAAAAGACAGACGCGCGTGCGAAAACAAGCAAATAGATAAAATATGCGTGGGCAAAAAGTCAATTCGAAGGGGAATTCATGTTCCGAAGTCACGTGGGTATGGTTATTAGGTTTACTTAGACGTTATCCTACTGATTGAATCTATTACAGAGCTATAATTGCGGTATAGATTGCCGTCATCGTCCGTTGACATATTTCGACATCAGTCATCTCACTGGGATGCACAGAGGTATCTTCACAGTACGTTCTTACGCAGACGGTTGTCGGCGTATGGGCGAAGCAGTTGCTATTGTTCGCAATGACATTTTAAGCCGATTTGGTGTTGAACGCGAGGTGCGAACCGTTTTTGCTAGGATCTTCACTACCAATAAAAACATACAGGTGACATAGTGTGCTAACAAAAAGTCGGCGTCTACGAGGAAATGTTCCCATCCGAAATGATACGTTTGTGCGTCTCTGTACGCGTTTTGTATATTTGCTTTGTAGGCTGGGTCAGGTAGCTAGACATCCTAAAGTCAACCGCGCTAGTGGGTACGCTTCACGTTTTTAGCCTGTTACTTACGGCGATATCACCGATAGCGATATCACCGAAGATCGCCGTACTGGCCAAGCTATCACGATTGGCTTTGATATACGTATTGTTATAGCCACGATAGTCATCAGCTTTTTCGCAGTCAGAGTACCGTATTGTCCGCTGTCGTCGTTCTTGTTATAGCAGTTGACACTTTCTTCCCGATACTAGCATCGTAACGGCGCTCATTTGATTATAAATGTTCTCTAGTGTCGATAGCCAGTACTGAAGATTTACTGTGCTTCTTTACGAAGATTCTTCTGTTTCTTAGTACTGCATGTAAAAGTGGCACAGTGAAGAAGCTCCAGGTGGAAAATAACGAGGCAAGCATATATTGACGTTTTGCTCGTTATCGAAGCAATTCTACTGGAGAGAATACTTTCGAAGAAACTCAAATGCAAGAAAGTCTCTTTTAACAAAAACTTCGAACCAATTATAAGCCTTTATGCCCCACATTTTATAAACCTTACGATTGTTATTATTTTTTTTTTATCTATAAGCATGTGATGACCGGCTTTTGCGCAGTGAGACATTTTTCAGTCTACCCCATTCGAATGATCGAATGGAACCCATGAGGAATGATCGGAGGACACATCAAGTCAGGCATCATTTTCTATCTTTTCATTAAAAATTTTATTATGATGAATGCATTAACAAATAAATACGACAACGAAGTCTCAGGAAATCAAGCGCTATTTACGTTACATTCTATTTACGTAACGATTTTCTGCGAAGTTTGCGCAGTAAAACAAGTCCCTCAACGCGTTCAAATAACATTTAAAATTTGCCACAAAGCAATACCCATCTTCTTTTAGAAGCTACCTCTTTGGACTATTCCGCTAACTATAGATATTTTTCATGCATAAACTATGACGTGCTTCTTGCGGTAACCAAAACATTCGATTTATCTCAAAACCTACTTTACTAACGATGTAGGTATAGCTAGTAGGTCAGGCCAGTAAAGTCGATACAATGTGAACGTCGACTGAGAGGTTGAAGCGCACCTTGTGAAGTTTGAAAATATCGGGAGGAGTATGAAATAGGCAGTAAAGGAAACAAGAGAAGGCATGGGAAATTGCGGAGACAGAACATAGAGGGCATCGTTCTATAGAATCTACGAGCTATTTTACTTCATAATTGTGGCCGAGAACACAGTGGCAAACCAAGTGTGACGAGCAGGGGTCAATGAATCCGTTGAAAACTGGCAGAAGGTAGCAGCGAGTAACACTCAACTACAAATGAAGTTTCTAGCCTGAATTCGAGCTCCAAATTACTTCTTCTTCGGGTAGAAAGCGGGCACTACTCACTGATCAATCACGTAAAATTATATTATCTCTCGTCAACTACTATTACTATATAATCGTACTTAATCATTCTATTTAATCACACGGTTTCGGCTTGATAAAGTAGTGTTGCGTGGGGTTATGGTGCTATAAAATAAATCATTATTACTACCAGTAGTAGCAAATTAATAGACAATAGAAGCCGTTTTTAGCGAACACGACAACAGGACGAACGTTGCTTACCTTTGTGATGGCTTTGACTATGCCTGATCCTTTAATGAACAAGGACAGAAATTTCAAACGGCCCTGGCGACGACTGCGTTATTTCACCTTTTGTTAGCATAAAAAAACAGTATCATAATAATAGTAATACTAAAAAGAAACGTATCCTCGCACCGTACGTAAAAACGTATACTTGATACTGAAAAACCCTATTTCATTATTTCATTTCTATATCATCTATTATCGAATTCATAGCGATTCCACTTCAGATCACTACAATCCAGAAGCCCTTTGGGCGTGGGGGCCGCGACATGTCGTTCGGCTTAAGTTATTAGCTTCCGATCGTCGTACGAGCGAAACATGCAGCTAAGAGTTTACATAATACGCTTAACTGTTTTGCCCACTTACGTAGCGGTTGACGTCATTTACTTATTTATAGAAATATAGCCTAGGCCTCTTCCGGGAATTATCTCTACTGTTTACAGAAATTGCTCTTTCTAGCTTTCGAAAGATCCGAAATTTTAAGGCCTCCTAGATTAAAAAACGGGTTCCGGTTTCTGACCTTGTTTTACTAACGAATTTCTGGAAGCCGGATAACATATAGACGGAAAGTATTGATCCTGTTAATAAATAAACAAAAATTATTTATATGCCTTCGTTGGCTTGGCTTCTTATACTATATAAAAGGCGTATCTTAAGATTGTGCATACTGAGCCTGTTTTAGCTTGCAGTCTTGGTCATTGAAGTGATGATTTCATAACTTTATTTCAATTGTACTAGATAAAAAGTCGCTTAAAAAGGCAAACTTACATTATTCTTATTGTCTGGCTTGACTGAAGCTTGAATTCGATTTGATGGGCTTCATCGCCTACCTAAAGATTATGAACCTTAATCCTGGTTAGCTTCTCGAGTTTGGCTAAGTTTCTGATCTACCGGACTAATAACGAATCACGTGTACGATACCCTAACGAGGCTGATACTGATGTCTACTAACAAAACACATATCGTAAAAGATATGCTTTATTATTTTTTGTACAGTTATATTAAAACATACATTATATTTTATCCCCTTTGTTTGCCAGAAAAGCTTTACGAGTTCAAACACTATAAAAAGATATTAGAGAAAGGGCTACGGTCAGACGGTTTGCTTGTTAGGACATCTTTTTGAGATAGGATTTCTTATGTGCACCGGCCACAATAAGCCAGTACTCCAGATAGAATCGTCATTGATTCCTAATGAAAACTTCATTTGTAGATAGTCAAACGCACTCGATACGGGACTGTGGGTAGCGATTGATAATAGGGTAACTGAATTTAGCTAATCGGTCTCGTGTGAGTCTTAGCTATTATTACATTTCATCACTTTACCCGGCGACTATAGAGCATATTGACACTTTCCTAACACATTAAGTAAATACCAGCCAAGCGAACGAAGTACTTGCCAACACTCTACCATCGATTACCATTGTTTACTGTTGAATCACTATTTTTTTTCCTATGTTATCGTTGGGGTTGGCATTTACGACACAGTTATTTATGTTAAAAGAACAATCGTCCTTTGACGCCCTTGGCTATCTAACACCATCCTCCTGGGAAATTTGCACCATAAGTACTACGAAGTTGACTTACGAAGGCAAAGTTAGGGCTTGTTGTCCGAAACGAGTTAGGCCAATTTCAATAGATGCTACTGTTGCAAAAATTGCAAAGGTGAGAATTGCCTACTTCTTTCTAAAAATATGTAATATAAACTCATCAACAGTTCTGGCGTAGGAAAAACTGCTTACCAATATTATTCATTTTTCATGTAAAAAAACTTACCTAAACAAGATCCTTCTGCACAGAGACCCTTCACAAAAAGTCGGTGGGATTGAAACAGATCTTTCCAGTGTAAAAGGTGTGTTATCTAGTTGTAACCATAAAAATTACGTCTACGTAATAATCAATTACTCGAATAAATATATTAGCTAATTGGTATTACGCTATTGGTCATAAGATAATAACGAAATGTTCTATGTAAATCGCCCATAATCTTATGAAATGAACTTCAGCGTTGATTGTCTTTTCACTGAAATTTGTTTATTGGTAGGTACTACATTAATCAGCATGAAAAATCGCGTGCTTATTGCTACCACAACAAGTACAAAGCTACTTTTGCTGATTGTCCTGTTTGTTATCTTTGTTGCAGCAGCGTCGTAAGCTATCCGTTTCTTTTTTGGATCATATAAAATTGTCCATGCCGATTAGAAGCAGCTTCAGTAAGCCAACAAAAGGGAGACACATTCATTGTTTCGAGTTCCTTCTAGTATAGAGTTGGAACCGTTTGCTTCTCGTGTGTGAAAGCATGACCGTGGGGAACTCCTAAATTGTTACCCCATACAAAACCATGAATGGCATCTTGATCCGGATCCGGCGCAATGGATTCGCCAGCACGCTAACCTAAAAATCGACACATTACGAGCCACAACCCAGTTTTTAACATACTCGATTTAAGCTACGTGTCGTTTAGCATGCTCATTTAAAAGTATGGTTCTAATAAATGCATCGTTCACCCATGAACAAGCTACAATCGAGTATTTTCGGTTTTTGACAGTATCCTGTACGCAAAACAAGGTAGTTGACACTGCACGACCACCTATTTTTAGAACAGTGAGACGCGTATCAATGGGAAGTTACGTAGTCAAGCTTAGCAACAATAAGTTAAATATTGTTTCAGTGGTGCTTCTGGTTTCACATCGAAGGGCAGACTTCCACCGCAAGTTAGCGATTCGCGGACGACGTACCCCCCAACCTTCATGCACAGCGGAGTATTCTACCAGTATGATACATCCACCACTTTGTTTGTATACCAGTCCCCCATCATGATGGCTCATCGTTATATAATGTAAGCGTCTATTGACAGTCCAGATAATTAGCACGCTCATGTTTTGTGCCCAGGATAGTGCTCGAGTGGTTCAGTCGCACCAGATCGAAATACTAGTATATAATACGTATGCTTACATTATTATCGCGTCGTAATAATCCTACTTAAAAGCTAGATAGCAGACAAGATTACGCTGTAAACAGAGAGAAAAAGCGAGCAAAATTTGCCTGTGATTTCGTTTAGTAGCCTGGTCTTGTGCATCTAACGAAGATTTCTGTGGACGTCTAATACATTTAGGGTTCGAAGGTCTGTTTTCTTGATATTGACAATTTAATGTCAGTTGATTACCACATTCTGTTTACCAATAGCGTGTCGACGTAGATAGTTCCATAACATCGTAATGGTATCGAGCTCGTGTTGCAAATTTTTTTTTGCTAATTATTGTTAGCGGTAGATTTTCAAGTTCCAAAGGTCAGGGGTATTGCAGTGAACAAGATGTTGATAGCATTCGCTTGTGCATGTTAGAAGACGCATCATCACCTTCTCAAGAAAATCAAACACTGAATTCAGGACAAAGGCCTCCGGTCATGTTTTATTGACTTTTTTTTCTAATTTTACATCAGCTGGCTTGACTATTATTGAGATTACGTTTGTGAAGTGCTGCGGACTGTCCACGCGATCTAACAGCCGGAACACGTGCATGTATTGTTATTATACAGAAATCTACCGGTCCGGATAAGATCCATAGTTACTATTACTAAGGCTTGCGTTTTCAGCCTGTACAAAGAAACGTGCAGTAGCAAGCTGTCGTGTGTCAAAGATTAAGGATGAGGCGGTCCTATCAGCAGCAGGAACTTTTTTGCCTATAATCATACTCCGCAACCATAAACCCGAGTTGCTGAACTTAGTTCAGAAATGAATATTTCATCTTAAAAATAGGCGCGCATCTATTTATATATGGACATTCAGGTGTGACAAGTTCTCCTAAAGCAGACAACTTCTAAGAAGTTCAATTCTATACGTGTTGTGATTTCGACAACGATAATTCACTCACACTTCGAAAGCAAATTTTTATATAAGCAAATGGAACTTTTTTTTTAACTTGTAGATATAAGCTTAAGCAATAACAAGAAATTTCAGCTCGGTATGAAACAAATGAGCTGGTTAATATGCTTAAGTACTTCTAAACAATGTTCACTCTATTTATAATCAAAAATTTGTGATCATTGGGATCGGAGCTTGACGCAATATATGCTAACCTTTCCCCAGGTTTCTAAGTGCATATAAAAATAGCAGCGGTAATAATTCAACAAACATCCAAGTTCTCAATTGCGTAAACTCCTACACTTTTCAATTTGAGGTAAAAACTTATCTCCAGCTCGTCACGTACAATTATACAGGGTGATATATATATAAGATTTACCTAACTGGATGGATTTTAAAACGAATAACAGCTGTTTATATACCGTGCATGCTACAAAACAGTGAGTCTTTTAGAAGTTCGCAAACTTGCCATGTTCTCTCCTAAATAAACGTCTCAAAAATGATGGATTAGAAAATTGTAGGATTTATTTATGCGAATGCATTTGTTGCAGTACAACATTGTGTATATAAAGTCATAAATTTAAGTGACGTTATAATCCGACCGTCTTACGCCAACACAAGAGCGTTAAGTAAAATTGGCTAGTATTTTGCCTTCCAGGTAAACAAACAGTGTATTTTCGACGTTCACTTCGTTTTTTCTTCTTCCTGCCGAGGTCAAAGATCTACCTAATTTCGGATATCTGTGCTGTGCCTAGTGTGGCCTTCTTGCCTAATCAACTGCTTGAAGACGACTTGCAAAATTGCAAAACCCTTCGACCAAAACCCCGTCTTGGGCGTGCAGCAAACACTTTACTCCGGACGATCATTTCAGGACGATAAGGACCACTCGAAGCCATTTTAAAACTACCCGAAGAGTAGGCCTGCATCTATACGGCAATTACGAGCCACCCTAGACCCATAAGATTTATGAAAAGGTCATAGGTCTGGGTCTTCTATAGTGAAGAGCATAGAGAAACTCGGCCAAGTCGAAACTCGAATCAAAGCCACTAAAGCCGCTTTGCAAACCCTGCAATAGGAGGTTCGTTTATATGCACCATATCCTTCAGGCCCCACGTAAGCAGATTAACCATATTCGTGATTCACTGGCAAATTGAAATTCATAACAATGTACCCCACACTGAGAAGAATTTCGAAAAAATCTACAAATTTTGATGAGAGATTTCGCAAGAAATCATATAGAGAATATAGTGAGTTGATAAGGATTCGAGGTAATGTTAAAGCTTGGGTTAAATTCTGAGCCAGGTAGCAATTTAGTCACATTTTATTCAAGCGATTATACATAAAATGTCTCAGTGCAAAAAGGCCTGGGTCAAAATTAAAAAAATCGATTTTTATGTACGGTGCCTAATGACAGAATCAAGTAGTTTTTTTTGCGCCAGTTCTATCTCTAGGCTTACTTTTGCAAATCGGCTTTTGTGCCTCCGCGTGAACAGCGTGTGTTGAACCTGGTCTAAGCTCGTTTGCATTAAATGTCCTAGCTTTGTCTATTTGTACCGAATTTTTAGCCAAATTTTGAAGCCCTCATGGTGCAAACCTTCTGGAGCGTGCTCTCTAGCTGACGAGGACATCGAGAGGCTTCGCAGGGTTCGGTATGTATGTGTACTAGGGACTGCATGCAAGAAAAGAATGCGTTTGTGAACCTCGGTGTTCATAGGCGAAGATGAATCAGCTTTTTACTTGTGGTCCTTGTAGGCCATCTGAAAGTAGCTGTAACTGTCCGGATTATTGTTGAAACCTATTTGATCCGGCCAAAAAATACTAACGTAAAAACGACAAGCCTCGAAAAACTCTATTTCATACAAAGAATGTTCCGATAAACAATAAGATACTAAACCTGGTATATTTCATCCTAATAAAAGTAAAGATTAGAAAAGATAATAGAAAAACATTAATGGATAAACTAAAGCTAATAGCTATGAACTTTTTTTACTTTCACTAAGTCTATAGCTTTGAGAGCGTCACAGGACTATGCTAGAAATAAAGTGGACAATAAATATTTAAATATAATTTTAAAACAATCTAGAAGAACAAAAAATGGTGCTCAATATATACAATTCTGTTATTAATAATAAATTCAATAATGGAAAACTGAAATTTATTAAAGACATAGGAGCCTATGAAAGCTTATGAATAGAGAGATTGCAGAAATTATTAAAAAACTGAAGAAGAAAAAGTGTACGTAAATGAAACTGAGCTATTATTTATTTATTAGAAAATACGAGCTAGTATTTTAATTAGTGGATTTTTAGTTATATATGTATATATATATATATATATATATATATATATATATATATATATAATAATATTTAAAAAAGATAATTTTTTTTCTTACTTGTATTTATATATAAACGAGGATGCTAGACTTTGTTGTCCGCGCAAATGAGCTTTGCAAACAACTACTTGGTGACCCTACGTTGACAAAGGAACGGTTTACGATAACGAAACTCGACGAGGAGGGGGCAACAACTAACAATGCTGAACAACAAATGCTGAAGTGGATAAGGACAGTATTTGTTTTACTGCAGAACTTAAAAAAGCTTGTTCTAGAAAAGCAGCTTCTTTGATTGGCATCAAAGCATTTTTTTAAAGTTGTATGTCATAGCCTTTGCAGAGTAAATTTAAAAATTTCTTAGGGTGTCCATTATATCTAGATATTCTCTAACTCAATAAAGGATGGCGCAAAGCTCAGTAAAATTTTCAGCAAAAAGTTCTTATGGGGACTCTTGATTAACTTTATATACTTATCCCTATTTTTCAGATGGCCATTACATTTGTTTAACGATTGTGCCCAAGTAAAACTACTACCACTTCTACTTTCTCGGTTATGGTGATCAGGAAGTTATTTGCACTTATAGTAAGATCCTCAGGCAAATGTCTTCTATATATTTTTAAAGTGTTTGCAATTTGGCAGTGGCACTTCTTTCATTTACAGACCGTTAATAGTTACGCTGGGTCAATTGTTGCAATATTTAGGCTGTTCAGAAACGTTACGATTCATATCTCTTTCTAGAAGAAAATTCCTTTCCGGGCGTTTATTGACGACGGTAATAAACACCCAAAATTAATTCAAGGCCAAACTAACTCAAAGATTGGCACAATATAATTGTGCGTCCTAACAGGACGTATGACTAGTGATTTTTTTGTTGACTCGTAAATTTTGAAAGGGGTCGACGCTTAAGACAAAGGGCAGAGTGAAAAAGACCTGCGAAGCTCGTTTTCTCAAAAATGACTTCCAAACAAGCGACTCCTTCCCTACGATACATATTCAATTATTTTCGTTAGTTTTTTTGGACACTAACAACATACGGGCCTTTCCAAAAGTGCTCTGGATGGAAAGAAACAAGAATTTTCATTTTTATGGTTTGAATAAAAAAAGTGTAGTATAACAAATTTGCTGAAGACAACTTTTCTTCCATCACGTTACTCGGGTACGCTAAGGCGTCTCAAATGATGGTTTTAATTGTTGACAGTTTGTAAAGGCTTTCCTAGGCACTTATACTCACACAGTTCAGAGGTTTTTCAAATACTACGGCTTGCAGATGGGCCGCTTTTTACGACCCATTTGTTTGCTTTTATCCCTTCTTTTGGATGGTACACTCGTTGACCAGAGTTACGACTTTTTGCCATCGTTTGAGTTAACATTCAAGCTTCTGTTTGACACTGACCACCGCAAAATGAAGACTGGAAGATTCCAAATTCGAATCACCCATATATATATATCAATGCTACGTACGTCCACTTGTGGATTTCAGTGAACTATCCGAGGTTGCCACTGATATGGTACAGAGAGTTGAGAGAAATATATACAGGTCAAATACGCCGGCTTTCGCCGTCTGTGTGGCGTGCATGCTCTGATACGGAGACCTTCTCTAGAAATCGTAATAACGATAGTGGCAGGGTGATGCCAACGGCTCCGGCGACGCAACTGGACCGAATTATTAACAGAATCACTAAGTAGGGGAACCAGAACTATTTCTGGTGTCTCGGTGTAATTAATGAAGCTCGTCCGTGGACAAAGCCAAAGATATAATTCATAACAGGTCCCCATTGAGTGTGGCACCGGGCAAGAAAACGTTTTTGTCGGCGTTCTTTGCGGCCGCTACTGCTCCGTCTGCAAATATTGCACGCTCAATACAGGCTACAGCTGGAGCTATATCATTAGGTTTCGACACTAGTATCACTCGTCGTTGCTGCAACATGTGCGGTATGTACTATTGGACATTCTCCGCACGTAATAGGGGCGATCACGTCAACGAAACGCAGAAAAATACGCTAGAATATGCGCAGTCCGTTTTGTGCGACAACCGCAAACAAAGAGAGATTCTCGTGTCTCTGATTCAGAAGATATTTTTCCAGCTAACCATTTCCATGGTGAAAGTAAAGCAGTGGTATGACGATGAAAAACTGATATTGGCCGAAAAGAGTTCAATCAGTAAAACGTATATAATAATAACACGATGACAAGTACGGAATGATCGATGTTACAAAACATTTCGCGTTTTTTTCGTTGATTTCATGATACATTTTCCGCTATAATTCACAGTCAGTTAATTTTTTATGGGCAACTAATAGAGCAGCGACGCTTCCCTGTATAAAGTTCGGGTAACTTATTGTATTATTCAGATATGTGTATGTGCAGCCCTCACGTATTAAGGGCTACGATAATAACAACAAAGAAAAGCGGAACTTGCTCTCCTACAAAAAAATTGTAGACTCGTTTTTTTCCTTTCAGAATCTTTATCATAAACATGTTTATCGAGGTGAGTCTTTCGACCTTCTACGTAGGAACTCCTCCAGATAGCTTTTTCTCCTGCATCCAGATGAACGCGGCGAGTATAGACGATTTCCAAAGCGACGGTCTAAATCATTATTAACGACTCGGTTCTTCCTATGACTTGAACGCTCTTCCTCACAAGATCAATTCGACAGCTATGCGCAAAAATACAAACCAGACTGATAGTGCTACCTTACCAGCTATATTCACCCCCTGGGGATCGAGTACTATGGTTTACAGTTGACGTAGCGCTAATCGTTTTCATAATCGGTGTATTATAGATAAACGCAGTCATTTTGGCAAGCACATGTGTCGGTCGTGCACCTGCTGATCACTCGAAACGGAAGTCTGAGATCATCAAAGGTCGACATTGACTTGACCTTCGACTAATCTAGAAAGACGAAATCGGGCTAGTTTCTATTTGAGTCTACAATAATTAGAGCTCCCATTTGTGTGGGCTGGAAATGTTGCGAAGATGACACATAAAGTCACCTAATACAACCCATTATTTTGCTGTGTCGGGGCATATTCGCACGGGTTATGAGCCGGAAAGCAGTTGGGCCTTTAAGCGCTAGATGAGCCGATTTGCTAGCATAATTTGTCTTTTCCCTCATCAGGATCTCAGCAATATAGGACAACTGTACCAAACGATGAAGATGATAGAGAAGAAATATTATCAGATATAGCAACATGGAATCGATATTAATTTCTCAATCAACATCATCCCCTTCTAGTCAAATTGCTTCTTCGACGGTGGAAGATTGTCTGGATGGAAGACCCCGAAGACATTACAGAACAGAAAGAATTATATATTTGCATCAGTGATCGGCTTAGTTGAATCAGCGAATGATTCAGCGAAATATTCGATATTATGCCCTATATGAATCGAAACCAGCTGAGATAAGTTAGAGGCAAACGCTTCCTGCATAAAATCACAGTGAAATCACCCGGCACTCTTTATAAATTTCATAGCCCAGTAGCCCGCTGCTTCGATTTCTCTATAACCGTGTGTTTTACGTTAGATCGAAACGCAGTTTGAGAGCTAGGAATAAGTTAGGACGTAGCACGTAAGTTACGCTGTAATTATTTCCGTCACAGCTCCTGCAGCACATGAACAAACGAGGTAAACATGTCGCACTGCCCTCAGGTCGTATTATACCAAGCGCGAACTGTAGATATCACATGTTATCCCAACAGTCGGTGTTATTTAACGTTTTTCTTATTTTGCTTCCTTTGGGGGCCCATACATCACACCACAGCGCTCGATGTGACAACTACTAACTGTGACAGTAGTTGCGGCTATTCTTCGATATGTCACCGGTCTTGAACTTTTCGACGCAACGACGTACTTTTGTCATCTCCAGTGGCACAGTTCCATGTTCCTATTAGCCAGTATCAACCGACGATTTTGTATATTGTCACCCTTTTCTTCATTGACCTCATCAAGCGGGTCGCAGCCGACATCTTGGTACTGTTAGAGATTCTATTGGTATTGGCGCAACCGCACGCGCATTCTGGTTCCCTATACACATACAGGTCTTCGTTCTTCTCGTGCTGTTTAGACTACCTGGTTGAATTGATCGTGCTGTTTTCTTGTTGTGCTCTCTGTTCGTGAAAACGTTGGTCGCTGCTTGCCATATACATTGGCACCCGTTCGCTCGAAACTTCGCTCAGAGTGACGCATGGCTACCGCAATATAATCGCAACAAAAGCGACTGAAATGCAGCGTCAGGACGAATTTTGATTTCCAGCTTTTTGATAGAGTCGCTTTCGAGAGTTACTGTTGATGCCCTATATCTTCTTTTTCGTCATGCCACTTTGTTGCATAGCCAAGTCGATCTACGTACGTCGCCAAACAAGCGAGCAGGATAGAAAGCATCAGCATCACTGCCATTAGCCATATATGCTGCAAGCGCACGGGCTATTCTCTAGTCGTTGCAAGCGACTTAGTTGCAACGAAGAAAACAAAAAAAAACCCATGATGATTAAAAGAAATCGGACTAGGGTGCTTTTGGAACGCGCGATCGCTTTTCCTTTGGCCTTTGCAAAGACGAACGTATGCAGTACCACAAAAACGATGCGTCTTTTCCTACAGTTGCTGTTGCTGCCGGGCCGCTAATGTCACCACTGAAGCCGTGTCTTTGTAATGTTCGGCATCTACCCACGCATCGCCGATTACACCATGGTACGTATAGTGGAGCTTTTGCAAGTTCCAGCCGCCGCCCACGGCAGCCGCAGATGGCAGCGGTGGATTCTGCACTGCGTCTCCTTGGGTGCGCACTCGATGCTTCCATCTCTCAAAACTTCTCCCGGGTCTCCTTCAGCCTCCCAACAGGCGATTCCAGTCTCCCGACAACGAACCGGCTGAAAGAAAGGTAAGCGACTGGATTGAGACGGGCAGTGAAGACCAGAAAAACCATCCAGAAGTCAAAATATAGAACGGACAAAAATAGAACCATATAGACAGCAAGAACTAGATAGATGCGGCAAAAAAATGAACGCAATTCCGCTACGACGAGATAGATATTCGTTCTATCGACGGTGCGCGCGTCCGCGGCTGACTGCGAGCGTGTACATGTGTGCCTTGTGTTGTGTTGTGTTCAGCATTGCGTCAAGTTGCGATGCACAACGTCTCGGGGCGTCTGAACGTTCGTTCGTTCGGCCGGACGCGCAGCCAGCTCTCAAAGTTTTCCAGTTGGAAGTACATACTACCCAGCGTCTAATTCGTTTAATAACATCTATCAAACTTAAAATATATATTGGCTGGCTGTACGTGGGGTGCGAGACGTTACAGTTTTTGTACAACCTTGGTGCTATCGGCACCATATTGCTTAAGCGCAAGACCAAGCGACTATGTCGTGCTCTTGTTTATTAAGTACGCTAGACGTCGCTGAAATGTCGCCGTTCTCTTTCAGAAAGCAAACACTGAAGCTGAGATGCCATACGCAGCGCTGCGATATACTCTCTGACTTGATTCTGAGACAAACCCGTTAGATGTGATGATAGTTTGAAAAGATGGAAAATACGTGGAGCTGAGAAGTGATGGAAAGCATCTGGAAATAGAATTTTACCGGGAGGGCATCCGCGACGTTTGTGGCTCTTATCCATCACATGGCTACACTCCCAGTTGCTAGTTCCAACTTCAGACAAGGATATATGAACGCTATATAGTTGTTAGTTTTCAAAACACAGGAAAATTCACTCGGAAATTAAACGGCTAAACTGTGCACTCTCATGTTTTTCTAAGGCTAGAGTTTATACTTAACGAAGGCGTAGTCTTTAATTAGTTAACAACAAAGCTATATAGCTGATCATCTACGGGTAAAGCTCCAATCGGCCGGAAACGATTGACTTCAAGCTTCTACGGGGAGTTACCTCTACTCATATGCCCCGCGTCAAACCCAAACGTCGCAACCTCTTTTCTGAACGCTTTTATCGTCTAATTCGCGTGATCAAAAACAGGTAAATATTTTGGTGAACGAATATCAGGATGAATTTATGGTGTCAGAACCGAAGAAGAAGACCAACTAAGTAAAACGTCACATTATCGTGCAAACACTCGAAATTGCCAAAGACATTCATAGTACTTTTTTTCTTCACTCTTATCTGTTTTCTTTATGCGGACGCTGAGTTGCATAATATGCGAAAAAAAAAAAACATACAAAAAAAACATTTTGAAATAGCTTTGGATTTATGTTGAAACTTGACCGATATTACCGAAGCTGAGAGCGTGGTATAGTTATCGAAATGTCGTCGGAAGATTTGCATCTGACGGTAGATACTTTCAATACCTAGTCCTATCAGTTTGATCGGAATAAGGATTTATTAAGAGGCCGCGTATCAGGATGCCTAACAGATTGAATTAGAGAATAGGAATTTGTCATACTCGTACATAACCACCTGTAGCGTAAATCGAAAGACAAGAGTCATTGCTGGTATTAGTTGTTAGTGTGCGCAAAAAAAAGTTTGGGCGCAGACTAAATCGTCAGGAATAGTCACTTATGAACGTGACCCCATATGATTCATCAATATAGTAGTGATAATATACAACGCAACAAGAGACTATTAATGAAACTAGCGAAGTCTAAATCTTTTGAAACGGCACGCGTCAACCTACCAAACACCTAACCTAAATATTTAACCTTTCGATTTACAGCCGTATCTCTTTCGATATCCAAAATGTTAACAGTTGTATCCGTACGATAAGATAGTTTGTGATGTCGCCAAGCAAAACAACGACGGGTCTACAGGAGGTCCAATAGGGTAGCCATTGTCCGGTGTTGGCTTCTTTAACCGTCAAAATAGAAGGCCAATATACTTGCGGAAAGTGTGTCCTCAGGCAATTTGTGAATTTGTGCTGCATAAGCTGAATACTTAATTACTTGCTATATGGATAGGTTTCTATTTTCACTCGCCCAGTCCTTTATCGGAACAGCTCCTCTGTTCCTGTTTGCTCTATCTCGAATATAATGTTTGCCATATTTGTAGGATCTTATCGCAAATGGGTTATGTAAGTTCGATGGCCCATAGTGTTCACGCAAAGGATCGAAAACGTTTTGGGCTTTCCACAGGCAACAAGACCTACCCGGCTTCATGAATAGAAGATTCCTCTCGCTTATACTCATTTTTTTTGTTGTTTTTTTTTTTCTTCGACTAGCTGTATGAGTCAGCCGGCTAACTGAGAAGAACAAACTGCCTACAGATGATCGTCAAAACTTTATTTAAATCAAGTCATCTAATAATAATAACACTATGTGACTAAGTCAAAATCGGTACGGTATACCGCGGAAAGCTACCTCAGCTATTATCTTCATTCTAATTTCAAATTTGTTAGAGACAGGAGGTTTTAGCTAATAAAGAAGTACCATAGTATCTCAATCAATACGGCAACGCTGACATCTTGAGGCAGATTAATTATGGACAATGTATCGGTTCGAGCTTTGGTGAAATCGCAGCTGTTCAGCGCCCTATAACATCCATACAAGACAACAACGCTGTAACCTATAGAAATTGGACGAATTTTCACTCCAGCCTAGACTAGGCTGTTTTTACGAGTGCCTCGATGTCCGTTCAGGCAACCCTGACATCTAAACATGCTAAGCGTATGCCCGGACTCCGGCCAAGAGTGCCCAAACTTGACAAGGTGTCACCACCCGCCATCGAGGAGTTGGATAACGTTATGCTTCGCCATATGGTTACATTTCGAGCGCGCCACATTGAGACATTAGTTGGCGTCGTATTTACGAAAAAGTTGCGCGAGCTTGGTAACCACCTGCAACTGCGAGCCCACGCTATGGTCAGACAGTTCCACACAGCCCTTCTCGAACGAAGCGCTTTCGACCCTGAGGCCCGCGTAGCCGTCGACAAATCTCAGCTGTTTTTAAACGCTACGAACGCGGCTATTGAAGACGTCGCCTCAGTTGACGGTATGGAAAGACGGTTTTTAGCGGCATTCGGCAAAGTGGGCGGCGATCCCGAACGGTGGAAGCAATTACAACAAACGGTTGACTACGACAAAATGGCCTTCGATGACCTCGTCGAACATCTGCGCTTGCTTACCAAAACGGTGCGAGACATGAAGCAGATCAACTTCGCATTACAGATCGAGCTACAGAGTGCGTTAACCAACGTGTTTCAGTATTACCTAACTAACGCTGGCCTACTTCTCGAAGACGGGGTTGTTTCGGTGTTCGAGAGTATTTTTCAGACGACTTGTTTAGACTTAGTAAACGTCGTTGACAAGACGTTTCGTGTCATCAAAGAAGCTATCATGTCTGATCAACTTGTCTCGGATCATGCTCCGCTTGAGGAATCAGCCCTGAACATAGTGCTAAGCGTAAGCAACATTGACAGTATTATGGACCTAGTTGGTACACAAGGCTTGCCCTAGCAGAAGGCTTCTGTGAACGCATGTCGTCAGGACGGCGACCTGGATATCGTGGGTAATAAACTGACCAGTGCAAATGTTCCAATTTTTGTTGATCGGTATGGATAGCAAGCATTGCGTTGTATATAAGCTAAAAAGTACTGTCTTAAATATATGAATAAATTTCTATGTTTTTCTTTGGTACGATTCAGTCGATAACTGTTTGAAAAACAAAAAATACAGGATCAAAAAATCAGACAGTTTCGGAAAATAGATCACAGCCAAGGTATATGTTAATAGCAAAAAATAGTCACGAACCAGAAGTGCGAACTTCGATAGGCAGGAGGGAAGGTCAATTATCATGTGGAGTCGATTTCTAAAGCACTGAAGGTCTACAGCATTTCTGCAGTGTCAATGAAGTTAGATCACGGTTAAACTGAAGGTCTACAGCATTTCTGCAGTGTCAATGAAGTTAGATCACGGTTAAACTGAAGGTCTACAGCATTTCTGCAGTGTCAATGAAGTTAGATCACGGTTAAACTGAAGGTCTACAGCACGTTAGAGTCAACAAGCAAACGTACGTTGTCTTGATACGGATCAATGGAGCAAGATTTCGCTATGGTTTATATGATGGAACCGCGAAACTTGATATATTATGTATGGCGGAATAATTCGAGATATCAAAGTAATTACGATTTCGATCTAAGGTGTGTATTTTGTCATACTATTGAATCATGATACGAAGTAATTCATCATACCTGTGCACCTGCGTTGGGCACAGATTGAGCTTCAATGATGACACTGTGTGGTTCTTGAAAATAACACACATTGCGGAGACGCTATAGCCAGTCGCGCTGTATTCTCATAAGGCACAAACGCTCTGATATTTCAGAAATCGTCAAGACACACTGGCGCAGGCGGATCTCGTTGACACATGTCTAAGACACTTCCAACACTGGAGTATGTGCAGCTGCCAATTACATGGTCGTTGAAGGCAGAATCTCACTATCCATATATACTCCAGCCACCCGAAAGAAAGAAGTCAAGCTGGAAACAACAAAAAGGCTACACGGGGCGCGGGGAGGGGGTCAAGGCATTCAAATGAGCGGTAACGCATATGCAGAATTCCAATACGGCGAAGTTAGACAATCCCCTCTCCGTCTGACCAGTCGAAATGGAAGATGGACCTATAATGCATGTAAGTTGCTTTATAATAGCAAATGCATGCTGGCTGGTTCTAGCTTGTTCTTCGTATCGTGCTAAGAATACTAATTTTGTTGTTGACACCATTGCAATGTTACTGACAACAACAGCCTACCATCGATTGCTACATAGACAACGGAGGCTCTCGTCATAGTGGTAATATTATTTTTCGTATGGAAACATTGTGCAGATATGTACACCTTGAAATAGCCACTGAGACCTTCCGCAGTATCTTACAGCAGATACCTAAATGACCAGACGCCAATTTTATTATTATAATAAAGTTAGTTCGGTGATGTCTTTCTTACGAATCACATCACAAGGTACGTTATGCATGTTTAGCGCGAATATCTTTTCAAGCCTATCTCTAATCATAAACTCCAGTAGTTTCCGTGTATAGCCACGGATTCTATTGAAACTAATGCAAAATTGTCGACCATTAAAGCCATTTCAAGCTTGCGCTTTGGGACGACCTCAGCCTGCAAGCCTGTGGACTTTAGGACAGAGCACACGTTCTGTTAATGGTCTTTTGTAGATAAATGATGAACCTAAAACCAACCAGCGCTTATCTGCATCTCGAACGATGTAAACATATCGATTCAACATCAGTAAGCTATATTTAACAGTGGAAATAAACTGCTCTGTACAGGTGTTTCTAACATTATTATTAATCTACCTAATAACGGTAAGTGTACAGCTTTGCTTGGTTACCTATATAGGAGTAAGAATTTCTTTGCGTTATGGCCATTATAGCCAAATTATTAATTGAAACTTTTATATTAATAAAATAAATTAATATAAAAGTTTCAATTGATAAAATTTTTTCTATTGGGCAAATTTCCAACGAGATCATTTTTATTCGAAAAAAAAGAAAGAAAAACAATTTTCAGTTCCTTTACAATTTTTCCTTAACAGAATTAGAAATTCTGCGGGTCGTTTTAAATCCAGTGTGCTATCCGGGGTTGAGACTTTTCGACCTTCTTTCGAATCAATATGCGTAGCCTTCTGTTTAACCAGATGATAGGTGTATTTTAACTCAAATGGGGGAGAGATGGCCAGACCGCAACAGATGGCCTTCTTACAACCTATATCATATGCAGGTATTGTTGTTGTGTTTCATCATGGTCACTATGATGTTATGCACGGCTGCTCTTATCCTATCAATGTTTGGTGGCCTCGTCGAATACCCTCCTGTAGTTGGATGTCCCTGTGGCTGAACGGGATCGTGTTACTACGGCGAAGCTGTCTCAGAATGCACCTTAAAAGGCCTTAACCATATCGGCCGACCATCCAAAGCACGCTATGCAGAGCTGACAGCCTGCGAGCCCCTATATATCTCAAACCGTTCTTCTTTATCTAGTAGGCAAGAGACTAGAAGGTCAAAGGGACGGAGCAGAGGATAAATTAAGGCAGGAAACTGGGTTACAGTAAGCGTCTGAATGGGCCGACGTTTGCATGGACGGCGCCAATATTCGGCCAAATCGTATTAGATTGTAGCGTGCTGAAAGGTTGCAGAGAAACCATTTTCGAGAAAACAGTCAATATACAGCTAAAAATATTGGTTTGCGCATCGTTTATATACTAATCTTTAGAGTGGCTGTTTTAACGCTTGGACCTATCGAGAGCTACAACCATGTAATTCAGCGCATTGTTACGCTTTCCTTGAAATTACTATTTGAAGTATCAATTTTCTGATACGATAGCACAATTTCCCTTCGGCATTTACTCTACTCCTTTCTGAATCATCTACATGTTATTTGAAATTTCAGATAGCTAACATGCTTCATACCTCGACGTTTGAATCTGATCTTCAACTTGTTCAGAAATAGAACAAAACCTCAGACTGAACCAGATAGATGGCTCATGGTTAAACGCCCGACAAATTTCTGTATGAAAAAGGAAAGATGGTATGACAACATCAAATAGATGAGCGAAAATACTGCACAAAAAATAAAACAATGGACGTTACTATCGGCCAATAACCGCTTGACCTTCGACCCTTCTAACAATTAGGACAGTTCGTAGTAAAGTTGAAAGAGACTCGTGAAGCTCTACCAAAGACTGAAATGAAACGTTGTTTTTTATTATTAGCTCATATAAAGATGGAGGGTTCCTTCTTTCGTCTATTTTTACCTTTTGCCTATATGGCAATCGATGTTTTCGCTTTGAACGGACAAGATTGTACAATATGAAGCTACGAATCGTTGACGTGTATTGCGTGACAAGTACGCCCAAACATGATCAAGACGTCATTATAGTCTTGCACTATGCAACTAGGACTATGGTTTAAAAAAGTCTAGACGTTCCATTAGTGTAAACCGCTTAATTAATAAAATTGTGCTTTCCGTAAAGAGCTCTCAAGTTTGTCTATTTTAGATTTCAGCTAGGAGATGATTCGCGTAACAAGTACTTTATTCGCAGTTATTTGTTGTGTATTACATGCAGTGTTTTATGGGGGGGGGGGGGGGTCATCAATGAGTAACTTTGATTTTCCTTCTCATTTTAAGTGCCAAACCAGAGTAAGTTTTCCATCGGAAATAGTTTCCTTCTTTCACTTTCTATGATTTTCCTTTACCGTACGGGAAAAAGGAGCTGTATGATAGCCATCAAGCTGTTTTCAAGTTTTTACGTCTGTTTGAATCATTTAGTCTCCTTTCAGGTTGTGCTATATGCGTCTGGAAAAGCGTTATAACGATAGCATATTATCTAAGCAGACAACTTTTCATTTAGGCGAAACGACAGTATAGGGTTGCTTAACAATCGTATAAACGAAAACTATTAGCAGCACAAATATTTTCAAAGGAACCCTTATATTATCATCTATATAGGATCGATTTAGTGACGTGTCGAAACATATTCCGAATTTCTTTACAATAATCCTACGAAAAAAGACCAGAAGAACTAATATGTATATTCTGAGTTTCCTGATTGGCGTAGGGTCTTTAGCAATAAGGACTACATACGGTTTTATCAAGAGCACGATACTTGCTTTTAGAGCATGACACCCATCCGGCAAGAACTCTTTGGTGCTCGTTTTTTTTTTTCGAAAAAGCTAATTTTACTTACTAAGGAAACTTCGCTTACTACCATATTTGTGCCGTTAGTTTCATAATTGTTAAGAGATGTTAGCGAGGCATACATCACTAACAAGGTTAAAATCAATTATTATTTAGACTTCGTTTGATACCTTCGGAAGTTATTTGCCATATACGATATATACTTCAGTCGGACAATAAAGCGCCGCTATAAAACAGGGGCACTCACTCAGCCTCTTGCATTGGCATCCTGTTCTACGATTCCTCGTGGCGCAGAAAGCGATGAGGGGCTCAATGAGCGCTCATAGGCTAAATGCTTACACAGTAGGCTTCATACTTACCAACAAGATGCCGTTCGTTTACGGACCTTCTGCGTCCATCCTAAAACTGAGCTGACGGATTTGCTGCTTATACGGTTGCCATGATTTCGGTCGATCGTCGTTATTTCTCTGCGGGTACAGAATACAAATGAGTATTATCCATAGAACGTGCGGCGCCCAATGGACGCCACGAATGCCGTCAGTTGAAAAAACAACAACAAGAACTCAAAAGGAAAAGCGGCTGGCAAACAGCTAGCTCTACGACGAGATCATTAGATGGCATAAATTGGGCTCGTTGTGCACAAAAATGGCGGAACAATTTGAAAGTACTTAGCATTTATGAAACAGTAGAAAACGCAAAATGACTAGAGTTACTAATAGCAACCAACCAATCAATCAATCAATCAAATGATCAAATTTTACATTGTGGAAATGAACATGATTTGGACGACAAATCGTAACCTAAGTAAAGTCACCCAGAGTAATTAGTAGCTCTACTCAGCTCGGAATACCGATTTAAAAGGGCCACGAAAATCATCGGTAACGAA